GGCTACGTTCGGCGACTGACTGTTGCCCCGAGCTCAAGTTTAGTATCACAAATCGCAAACAAGTACAATGATAGCAAATCGCTTAATTACAACTGTAAACTTTAATGACAATTTTACGGATTTTCCGAAGTTCCAGAGGGAAGGTCTCCGGTGTCCTCTCATCTCCGACATATATAATAAGGATTATCCAAAATTCCGATTATCCAAAATTCCAAAGGCTCCGGTGTTCTTTCATCTCCGACATATATATATATACCAAAATATACCAGAATGGTGTATAAAAACGACAGGTGTTTCACTTGCTGAATTCCAAATGAAAAGAAGTAGATTGGACTAGGCTATTAAAGTGGTAACGACTTGCGTGGAGACGATATATGTGAATGAGCGTTCTCAAAATAGTCACATCTAAGGATATCCACAGATAGAATCGAAATGCATTCATTGTAAGTATATCTGGTTACCATAAAATGTACTTACCAACTGTACACAGTAGCACGCGTATGATGCCAAACATACTTTTCTGTACAACTCGAAAATCGAAAGTGACCACTCTATATAGAAAGAAGTTATTCAGGATTGTCAATTTGACAACATATTTCAAGAGCATCGAAATGAGGTGACAACTATTCGGTGACTTCGCTCTTCCCATCAATATCTTAGTAATATCTTACTTACCAATAGCGAAGTTCCTGGATCTCTTTCATAAATCAAAAAACAATCCTATGTCACTAAGAGTATGTCATTAGTATAAACGCCTTTGGCAAAATTACAATTCATTCCGCAATCGTGATTAATGATGATCGCCACATAAAACGAGGAGGACAAGTTAATTTGAGTTGACAAAACTAACGAGCAAATAAACTTTCCAATAACGTTGTTCCGCAATCTCAGAATCCTTCAAGGACTACTAGAATGTGAACATCTCTTCAATAACATGCTGTTTTATCAACATAGTTAACACCTTTATATCGGTTAACAATAACATTGCACCGTTTAGAAATACGAAACATAGCATAAGGGGAGGTAGCTTCTTTATCGAGATATTTACTACAAATTTAGCAAATTTAGTGAAAAGTCAATATACGATACGAAGGATGGTGTTAAACATTCAGAGGCTCGAGAAAGTATGGCTTAAATGTGTACCATAGAAAAGTATATCCATATTATGTGTGTTATACAGATAAAACATTTTGGGATTTCATTGACATTGCAATTAGGTAAGATAATCAGCATTATATTCCTGGAATTTGAAACCGATCTGAAAAATTTTTTTTTTACGAGATATTTTAGAATTACAAGATATTTATTGCAATCATAGATCTTCAAATTGTAAGCATCAAAGATGATCCTATCGAATACTGAAGTTCATTAAATACAATGGATAATTGGCTTTTTGAATTAAATTGAATTGATCTCTGTGAAATCTATACTATATACGTATTTTCTCATCTTTGTGGATAATTTCGCACTTGTTTCTAACTTTACCGGTGCTAACGAGATTTCAAGATGCTTCATTTAACACACCTGATATATTCATAAAAGGATAAACTGAACAACCCGTATAAAATGTTGTACGTTTAACGAGAAACGGTATCTTATCGCTCTGATTCTCTTAGAAGTTGAAATTTCTTAAATTATACAGAGGGCAATAAGGTGGTGGTTTCGAAAGGAGTATTTCGCATAATCGGCGACACCGAGAGTTAGAAAGGAAAAGCTAATGTTCTTGTGAGCTATTCAATCAATGTTCACATATGCAAATACATAGGAGTTACGGTGCAAAAATCGAGTACCAGCTGGCAATATTTGCTCGTGCTCATTTTCTTCGATGCCATCACGACGATCTAAATTTTTAATTAACGCGATGATATTGTTCACTTCGGTATGTGCATAATGATACACGTATATACAGGCAATTTATGTACAGCTGTATATTTACACAATAGTAGACGTATGTTTGTACAATTAGAACTATTAGAAAATGTAAAAAAAACCCATCTGAATAAGTAAACTGGAAAAACACTATAGGAAGTTTCATGTATGCACATAAAATATATATACATAGATATATCAATATTGCCCTTCTTAGTTAACACGTAGATTGCTACGTAATTTTATATATTTCTTCCTAGCAGTCGCAATAGATTGAAATGTGTTGCATCATAACGTTTCATTTTTGTAAAATATTTATCTTATTTTAAATATTCTGAGAAGTTTAGTAACCTGAGTCACCGATAACCAACCGTCACGGTTAGCCCATTAAAATATTCTATCTTACATTTCTCTTTATTTTTCAAGATATTTCCTGGAATATTTTAAGCCTGCTTAATCTTGTAATTTTCTTAATTCATTTAGCCTGTGATTATTATCTTTTAAGATCAGTTATACTATACACTCTATTACGAGATGATAACCAAATATTTTGAATTGAACGAAGAATAAGAATGACGAAGAAAATGATAAAACTTTAACTTTATTTAATTCTGAAGTGATAAATAATAACGTTTTGATTAATACGGACAAAACAGATCTTTGATATATCTAGTCTAGCGTAGTGTATACTAATATAATTGCCAACAAACAGGAGGATAAAATTTGTTTAGGAGATGAAGGAAAATGAAGAAATGTGGAATTTCTAGAACAATAGGAACGTAATCGGTGCTTTATCAATGGTTCGTCTAAATAAAACGCAAATCAAAGAGGGAAAGTTTTAATACAACTTCGTCTCACGCATTGGATGCTCAGACAGCCCATAAAACATTTGCATATTGTCCAGTTCCTTCTTCGATATCGATTCCTCGGTATCGATACGCTATACACGGAAAAAATACGAAAAAAGTCGCGGGAGATTTAAGAAAATCGAAAATTGTAAAGTTCGCGCAATTGCAAAATTGTAAATATTATTTTTGCAAATAAAATTCTGATATAGCGTCTTTAAAGAAGCTTAGTACAATAAGGCAGCGAGGAGAGAGAGAAAGAGAGAGAGAAAGAGAATGATGTCACCACATCAGTAATTATGAAGTTTAGAATTTAAGATTCTGTTAGCGTGCATAACATATGTCATACGAGCGAAACAACGATATGTGTTTGTATAATACTGTCAAGAGCAATGGAAGAAAAATTCAGAACAAAATTTGATGGAATGTGACGGGGGGCTACTTTAATATTACTATCAGCTATATGTATTAGGACATCTAATATCTATCTGTTACATTTATGGATTGAGAAACTCTAATGAATTTTACTTTATTTAGTCTTTACATCATAGTTATGAATGACGTAATATATTTATAATAAAGCAACTAGAAAATAATAACTATAATAAATGAGCATTCAATTTGTACTAAATATCAGTAGGTATCTTAATACTAATGATTGCCAGTGTATATTCCTATATCTTTGTAATAGTGGACATTCATGGAAAAAAATAATTAAATAAGAAACATGAAGTAGAGAAATAATTAGAAATTGAAAGAAATAGAATTAAATATATGTCATATGATAAACATATGATAAAGAAAACAGGAACTTGATACGCGAGATCACTATGTTTTCCAGAATCTAATTGATTTGTAAATATATGTTTACTGTAATTTCTCACTTAAAATTTTAAGCAATCTTTCGTAGAAAAGTTAAATCCAAATCAACAATAGCTAATAAGAAAAAAATATATAACAGGAATAATATAAAAGAATTCTTCCAAAATATAAAACGAGTGTATATTTTTGAGAAACGCAATTGATTTTGGTTCGTAAACATATGATCATTGTGATCTTTTATTTCTACTCTTAGCAAGCTTCTCATATTTTTTCAACTTCAATGGCAAAAAAAATATTGGCACACCATTGTACTTATTATAGCATTTACATACTAATTTCTTAAATTTACTGCCTTATTGTCAGACTACAAAAATTTGGTATTATGAAAATGAAATGTATAGAACCTGATAAAAAAAAAGTGTTTCATTGGAAAATAAAGGGTTGTGTGTCAATACTTTTTATAGACACTGTATGTAATACTGGTTGCAGCGGAACGTCGAACGAAAAAAGAATCGAAAGGTTTCCCTTTGAGTAAACGTGTATGAACGTGTATGAACATGTATGAACGTGTACAAACACGATAAACAGTCGCCACGAACGACACCCATTTACGCGGAACGGCTGAACGCGGAAGCAACGCACCGTTTATTGATCACGTTTCACGGATTTACCGACGCCAGATAATACATTCAAGGCGAAAAATCAAAATCAATCGCTTTTTGCGTACCTACTTATACAAAGCAATGCGACCCAGTCACATAACTGCAATTCAAGTCCAGTTTTTCTCGTATTTATGTCACGGATATGATTAAAATTAGATAGAACAGTGTATATGATTGAAATTAAACTAGACAATGCATATAATTAAAATTAAATTAGGTAATACGTATGATTAAAATTAAATTAGGTAATACGTATGATTAAGGTTAAATTAGGTAATAGGTATGATTAAGATTAAATTAGTACTTATAAAGTAAATTTGGAAAATACTTAAACATCTTTTAATATACCAGACTAGTATTTGGCTAGTTTTTGTTACACATACATAAATTAATCGGCTTATGTAATTTATGGTAATTAATCTATAAGAGTAGTTTTACTTATAATTAGAAATAACATATTACTGTTTAATTAAATAACAATTATCAAATTTTTATGGGACATTATGTAAAACTTTCGAATTTATAAAAAGAACTAAAAGGAATAAGCTTATTTATTTAGCAATAACGACTAGCTGAAAGTATTACAATGTCACAGGAAAATGCATTACACTGTGGTTTTATCGAACATCACTCTATTCATGTATCATTAAAGATTCAACTCGGACACTATCTGTCAATTAAATAGCGTGATACAAAATTATGTATGCCATCGAAAGAATTAATTTTAAAACCTATGTTAAAATTTTAGACATTTCCTATTCTTGTTAAATACTAGTTTATTTTTATAGTTTATTAAATAAATACTAGTTTACACAGTGTTATACATTTTTATTGCGACACCCTGTATATCAATTGCAACATTATCGGTACTATCCATATTAAGATGACAATTCACAATATAGTTAGGGCATTGTCTATAGTATGTCATTCAATTTAACACATTACGGACCAGCCGTCTTAATTGCTAGGTGTACGCAGGGGCCAGATTAAATTACTTTTCTCTATATGACAACAATGGAAACCCGAAAATTCTCGTGAACGATCGCAAGCATTAGGATCGAAAACACAGGAATTCTCGTGATCTGTCCATAATTAATAACGATAATACGCTTAGAAAAAAGAAAAAAAAAAGAATGTAATTAAATGAATATCAATAAATTATTTCGGAATCTACGTTTTTGGTTTTTACTCTCGAGATTTTAGTATCATGTAATGACTACTTGTCTTGTGCACGTGATCATTATACATAATTACATTTTTCCACTAGGTGATGTGCATATACATCTTTTCTCCACTATTTTCACTGGCAGAGAAACGTATAGTCTACGGTCAAAATCTCGAGGTAGTCTATTCTACACAAGGACAACAAATTATACATATTGAGCTGTATAACATAGACTCGTACTGTTTTTATTCCCATATTGCATATATTGCACTAAATATAAAAACAGGATGAGTTTATGTTACAATGTAGTAAAATAACACTATATGCACACAACAATGAAAAATGGTCGCAATTTCAATTGGTAGCACTGATATTGGTAGGTTATGTCATTTATGTATATTGTTCATTTCCTGGAAAGGTGATATAACCAAGAATAGTTGGAATATTTAAGAAGTTACTTTGAAATACAAGGTTTAAAATATTGGATTATAACATATATTTAAGAACAATATCATAATTCAAAATACGATTGTTTTAACCCTTCTTTTACTGTAACTATAAACAATACGTATAAACAATATTTTATGAGAAACTGTCAAAACTCAAAAACTATCAGCAAAATTATAAAAGAAAATAATGTTTTCGCTATTAAATAAATAACGTGTTGAATAAAAAGTTCTATTGATCTGTGGCATAACACTGTTTCCTTCAACAATTTAACTGTTTTAACAGTCACTAACAGTCTTTGGATCTTAATGATCTTCCATATTTTGTTTACATATATTGGTTACACTAAAAGAAAGGATTAAATAACCAATTAAAACAAACTATTGAATTATAAAATTGTTCTTAAATAAACAATTCTATTTTATAAATATACTTTACTATATCTTGATAAATATTATATTACTTTATAATTATACTTCCATCATAATAAATACTCCAAAATTTGTAATTTTTCAGTAACTCTCCCAAGAAACCAGCGATATGTATTTCTAACCAAGCAAGCAGTATAAGTACACTCGTATGCGACCCGGCTATCAAAAATACATACATATGTATAAAGCTGCCAAATCTATCGCCGGTATGAAACCTCAATAATACGTCACGTATCTACACCGGATCTAGACGTCGAGATTCAAAATAAATCCATGGTAATAATTCTTATATTGATAGTTATAAGTATGACAGCTAAGTATTGAAGAAATTAAAGGGAATATAAATTACAACTATTTTACACGATGAAGCAGCATGCGGGTACGCGTTGCGCACGCCAAGAAACGCGCGCACACAATTACATCAAGTTACGCATCCACACGTATACACACTGATGCTCACACCGATCGAGACAATGCGTCAAAGCAGAGGCGGTAATAATCATTCACCTTTCATGTAATATCAAAAACTAATAGATCTAATCTCTTCAAGGCAACAAACGAGAATATATACCGAATATAATCTGCAGAAGAAATGAAACATCGGATAGTTGAAACGACTCAAGAATGGATCCACCGAGAACACGATACAATTGCGTTCATACGCGACGAGTTTCTCGCGATATCTTTCACGGACACGCGGGAAAATCATTCAGCCGATATCTGGTAAAATCGTAAAATTACACCAACGAAAGTTCGATCATGGTTTCTGTTATCAAACAAGACACTATTAAGAATCTATGAGAGAGAAACTGAACGAAAGTATCCAGCCGTGGTACTCGACTGTTCGATTTCTGCACACCAAATTCGATATCCCTATCACAAACTTTTCCAGCTGAATAACGAACGTCGTAATCACGAAAAATATTGTTAATGATTCTAACATCGACATGAATATGTAGTAGAGTATTTATGAATTTATAAAACAGAGTTGTTAGACATATATTCACCACAATATCGAGATGCACGATAGTAGGCGCGGCTTTTCACCCCGTATAGAGAGAAACAATTTCGTGTCAGTGATTTGTCACCTACCTACGTTATTCGAGCGTGTCCTCTTCGTCAACGATCCTCGTGCTATCCACGAATGAAACTCACGATACCGATTTAACACAGAATCACGAACGAATCGTGCTCTCGGCACTTTTCAGCTCGTGCTTGTCGCACGCCAACCGAGTCCGCCATCTTGGGGCAACCGCCAAATCCCCCCAGGCAGGACAATACTTTCCCATGAAAAGTCACTAGGAAGCTCTACAGATTTTCCATCTTTATCTCGCTACTACTCTCACCCTTAACCCTTGACAAGCCGACTGCAGTATAAGTCGTTCTACTCCTTCTCGATACACTAGACTTTGCAGACATATCTGTGTTTATTGCGATTATCAGTGTGGTATTTGTGCAAATTCATATTTTAATGAGTGAAATGAAATAAAATGGGACATGGATAGAAAACTGTTTGACAGTCCTATACTTTGGATATTTTACATTTTACATTTTACATATTGTGTGCACTCTGTGCATTTTTCCATCTACAAACTTCCTATAAATACATAAAAATCCTGTATAAACCAATAATATATGAAGTTTACTTTTGGTATCGACAGTAGTTCTAATAGTTCTAAGTTCAAGATAGTTTGGTATCTAAAATTTGTTTTTTATTTAAGATGTGATTTTAAGATTAACATAATCAAATTTGATGTTTTTTAGTACATTCATATTTAGTATTGTCAGGTATGTTATTCATTTTTCAATTATTAGTCTTGTTAATGATATAGTAAAGTTTAATTCGAATTTATTCTGGATAATCTCTATTTTTTGATGAATTCACTAGATATATATTGCTGTATTATCGCCAAATTGAGATTATTTCTTAACTACATTCTAATTAGTTCTACAATTCAAGTGATATTAGGCATTTATCGTAAATTTTAGTTTTTTATAAAATGATTAACTGATTATTTACTATCTATACTTATGTAATTGTGTTTAATTCTGTAACTGAAAGTTGATATTTTTCGGCTAGAGCTTTGTATGAAAGGTGTAACTGCTTAAATATAGTATCTAATCTCTAAAAAATATTTATATGTACGTGTACGTACTAATAGTAGACACGTGTACTTTTAATTTAACACAATAAATTTCATAATTAATTTATAATTTGTGTTACTTATATATATAAACAAACGTTTTATCGGTTTTTATATAGTTTATTAAATATGCACTAAACATATATTATAAATATAAATAATAACATTAATGTCGATTTATATCATTAACGAAAAGACAATCAATTTTTGCGATACTACATTTGGATTCACTCCTAAGGTCACATGTGGTGATGACAGTTATATATTACAATTTTTATTGTTTGAATATTTTTCTGCGCTGATTATTAATAATTTCTTCTTTTCTCCAACATATACATATATAATTAGAATAAAAACTAAAGCAGACATAATACATTTTTATCTAACTATTTTTAGATGGGGATTTTTACGTAAAGACTAACGTTACTAAAATTTCACGAAAACAAGACTTAGTTCACTCTAGTTAATCGCAATGATTCAATGTGTAATTAAGATAAAGAGGAAGATATATCAGTTTAAAATGAAAGTAACATTGTGGAACCAATCAACTCGCTAGCAGTGTGGGATATCAATTATAAGGGGCTTTAAAGAAAGATAAAATTGAATAAAATACATTATTAAGTAAATCACATTTCTGTGATAATTCTTCTAATATCAACTTAGAAAGATACTAAATTCTTAACCTAGACGAAACTTTTTATTTTAATAAAGCAATGTAAAATCATACTTTTCTCTTTATTACATATGTACGTACACAGTTATCGCGGCTAGATAAAATGAGCTCTAGTCTGACATCTATCGGTTTAAACACGAACGATAAACCTACGATTATATGATGGTTAGTAGATTGCAGAAATAGTTTAAAATACAACATACGCACATCCATAAAATATAAAAATATTCATATTTGTATGAATGCGGAAATACATGAGAAATGTATGAATATGAGCAGAAATCTACCAACATATGTTAAATTCGGGAAATATGTTATAATAATCAGATTTCTATGATATTCATTCTAATAATATTAAAATCTTGCTTTCTGCTAATCGTAATTAATTGATAACCTTAAACATTGCAATTAAATAATAGTAAGGTCTTATGATTTCAATAAAATGCAAACACTTTTTTCCTATATTAATAGTAATTGATCGATAATCTTTAAGATTTAAATTTAATATTTCATTCGACATATCTTTACTGTTCGATATTACATGATATCAGGATCGTGTTTACTATTAAGTAAAATAGGTTTAGGGTCCGTTGAAAAGAGGCAACAGTGCAGAGGTATTTGTCATTATTGCATGAAATAAATAAATCCATTGGCTCCGACTTCTAACTTTAATTAAAAAATATATATCAATAATAATACTTTTTGCAAAAATCTTTGTTACATACAAGATAAGTAAGTGCTTTAAAGCAGAATTATATTAATATTGAAACAGCATTAAACAAACTGTCCATAAATGAAACTGAAAAGCCAGTTGTTCGAGCAAAAGCGGATACGTTAGTTACTAAAGTGCATAAATTCAAACTTGTTTCATTAATGATTATGTAGAAAAATTTTTTATATAGAATAAATGTTGTTAGCAAATCATTGCAATCATTAACAGGTTCAATATCATTCTCATATCTACAGTATCATTATATTATATAATGATGATGATACTACTACGCATAACCAATTTTATTAAAGATACGCGTAACAATGTCAAGGAGTTTAAGAATAAAGCTGTAAATAGTATTCCAATTAAATATAGAAAAAGATTCTAAGTTACAAAAAAATATTTTTCGACAATAACAATGAGATCAACGTGCAGTTAAAAGTTTCAGAGATTTGGAGAGAACATGTTTTAAATCGTTCGTGATAGAATAGTTACTGATTTGTATAGAAGGGATGATATATAAAAATGTAAAGAATAAATTTAAATGTATGTACCTATATATGATTATAGAAAGGAAGTTGTAAAACTTATATTGAGAGCATTTATAATAAAAATTTAAATGTTGAAATAAAAGTGGAAATGAAGCAGCTTAATATATTAAGTAAGATTGAGAATGTGATCATTGTTTCTGAAAAATTTAATTTTATAATCGAAAACAAAATATATCTACATTTCCCAATGTCGAAATAATAACATTACTGATTAACAATGCCAGAGGAGAGTGTTCGTGCCTGGAGCGGTAAAAAATTATTTATGCAATACTTTTTCAAAGTAAAAACTTACCGCATTAGTACTGATGTCTGACGTCTGTAACGTTTATGTAAAATAAACGTACACGAAACGCGCTCTTTACCGCTACATATATTGAAAAAAGAAGCAAGCAACAGCGAAAAATGGAAAGCAAATTAATCAAAAATGTCTAAAGGCAAATTTCTATTCAAATCTCAAAGCATCTGCATTTTAAGAGAAAACGTAAAGATGGCAACCCAACCTAAAAACTAACGCTAAGCGACAGGTTATTTTTGTATATAACTCGAAAACTAAGGCCGACTATCGATTGTATGTATAGGAAAAAGTTTTTCGAAATGTTTCATTTCATAACATATTTCAGAATCATCGAAATTGGAGATAATGGTTCTTTGACAACTTCATCCAACTTCTTGTCACCTCTTACGTAGTTCGATGTTTACGTACATACTTGTAAAATAACCTATTATGACGCCTTCTAACTACCATTAGATATTCCTAGGTAAATATTCCTATTAATACTATCATGGAGGAAATTTCCTCTCCGATACTATGTATCATGGTAACGCACGTTCGTTATTTCACCGTTCATTTCGTACAGTCGGTTTCAAAACTATTTGGTCACTATAATCCAGATAAATTAACCTGTTATGCGATATTAAATAGTATCTGACATTTTCTTACGCGTGTTCATAGAAATCACGTTCGGGAATAAATCCTGTATATTTGCCATTCGAAGTTTCTTGCGTGAACTTTGTAAACTATCTGCAGATTTGTGGAAAACATTTTTTGCATATAACAATGAACCCAATAATTGCATCACAAAAAGTTCAGAATAAAAGTTATAGATATGAGAAATATCTGTCAAATGTGAGGTCACACGTTACATTTACAAATTCACAAGTATAATTTAAAATTGAATTGATTTCAGAATAGAAATTTTTGTTCGTTTACATTTAATTTTTTATTTTTGTCACTAATTCATCGTTAATCATAATCATCGATATTACTTCTATATATTTTTATAACGAACATCAAGAAAAGTGGAATTGTTACTTTATTGTTAAATAATTAAAGACTTTTAATAATTGTCATCACAATTATAGTTAGGATTAGGGTTAGGTTAGAGTTAGATCTTATTTTTGTCTGCATTATTGAATTCTGATCATTTTTACGTCCTTAATATAAATATTAAGGATAAATTAATACTCTTTATATTATAAACGTGTTTTATCAATGCTAGTTGATATTTTATAATTGACCTATGAAAAGTACAGTGATGCATAATTTTTAACACCATTCTCTAATTTAGGATTTAAAAATCGACCAATTTTGAGTTGTACATTATAGTGCAGTTCTTCAGGAATTGAAAAAGCCCCCGCCAATTGCTGTGCGACTTTCGAAAATTGTAGAAATTAGGTTCTACGATGACGTCTCTTTAGTTGTTAAATAGTTTTCTGTAAAAGCTAATAAATATTTGGGCATAAAGTTTTCCACACATTTTCAGAATAACAAAATCTACATTTCCACAAAGTTTTAACTTCGCGTAAATAATTGACAATCGAAAATAGTGCGAAATCACTGCAGTAGAGTCTGTAGATGTTGTATTTTATTAAAAATAAAAAATTTTCAATTTTTAACATTTTTATTGCTTTTTATCTGTATTTATTTCAGATAAAGAACATAGAAGTCCAAGTTAAATTATAGTCCGAATATTTTCGAAATCAACATATATCGTTTCTTTGTTATAAATTTTTGACGAAAATATAGTTACAAATGAAATATGTTTATATCTAGTTGTTTTGACTCATAAAATATACTAATAACGTTTGGCCGGAAAAGAACTGGAACACACTGCATAATTCTTATATTAAATATTTCTCAAAATTTAGTAGTGTAACAGAAATGAGATAAAAGTAAACGAATACGCAATAAAGCATAATAAACTTTAGTAAATTACTCTGTTATTAAAGAGAAAGTGACTCAATCTGGTGCTAGAAAATTAAAGTGTTTCTTAAGTTTCATATAATAAGGCTATCACAGAATAGAACATTTTTCGTGTAACTTAAATTAAATTGTTATGTTCTGCTATCTGTTATCTATTGTTAAGATAATAATTGATTCGTACACTAGAAATTATATGTGTAATTTACATTTATGTAAGAAATTTTTATTTAACAAATAGCGCGTGTAAAGAGTACAAAAAAATAAATACAGCTTTGAGAATTCTACTTCGAAATTGAAAATTGACTTTCGCCGAAGTTCAATTCAATTGGGTTCAATTCTTAAGCCGATATTCCATTCTTTTTTAGATATCTGCCGTAATATAAATATCCCATATATTTTTTTAAATTTATCAATTACACGAAATTTGACAAAACTCATTTTTTTCAAAATAATTTGTCTAGTAAAAAATTGCTTAAGAATAAAAGTAAAATTCTTTACTACGAATTTAATAATAGAACCATAGAAAATAATTGCGCGACGAAAATAACCGTTAAATACTTCTGAATTCGCTTTATCATCAAAAAGTATGACTTATTAGCAATTTGTTGTGTTATCATAATTATACTTTCAGTTTTGTTTCTTTTACTAGTGGAAGACATTTATAGAATATGAGCATTCGTAACACTTAAAATAATTTTATCTCAATGAACGTTATGTGTATGACCATTACGAGACACTTTATCTTCATCAACGTATATACTAGTGATATTGTGAATTGTGATATTCTAATTTCTGTTGTCACGTAGAATAATTAATTAGTTTTCACGTGATTAACTTATATACGACATAACATAATATATTAAGCACATACATATGTAAAGTTTCACGATATAAAGACCAGATATTGTGTAAAAATTATTTATTATCACAAATCTATGACATGAAACTCGGATCCGCAACGAATCTGTTGAACATAATCGAATTTATTTTTAATAATATCGTTGGTCATTCAACACGTCAAGTATAGCAAATCAATTACATAAATAGTAATAGAATGTAACAGTAGTATGTAGTGTGTAATTACTAAGATCGAGTTTATTGTACCACAAGTTGTTTGACAAGTTTGCATCACACAATATACAGTCGAGGACGATTAAAAAATCCGAAATTATAGTAAATTACCACACAAACTGAATAATACGAGAAAAATATAACCGTCCATACAAAATTGTAATGTAACAAATGTTCAATTTATAAAGATACGTTAAAGAGTATATACCGATATGGCGCCCGACAATTGAAATATTTCAAGAGGATTGGTCAGGATAAATAAATACTCACCTTTGTACTCTTTCATCAGTATTACTTTGTGTAGCATAATTTATAACAACCAAGGACAGAAAGTCTTGACTTATCCAAACATATCACTCTCGTCCTAACTAAATGTCATGCAGACATATATCGTATAATTTTTTTACTAAAGATTCATTTTACCGAAGAACACTTTCTTTATGTAATTTAAACATTAAATCTCAGCGTATATACGTACCTTAATTACTAA